TTTCTGTCTCTGGATCTGTTTTTGTTCATCAGTTTATGTTGTTCATTATATTCCAAAAATGAGTGAGATCATGTGACATTTATCTTTCTCTGACTGGCTGATTTCTCTTAGCATAATGCTCTCCAGTTCCATCCATGCTGTTGCAAATGGTAAGAACTCCTTTTTTACTGCAGTGTAGTATTCCATTGTGTAGATGTACCAGTTTTTTTTAATCTACTCATCTGCTGATGGGCACTTAGGCTGTTTGTTTCTTTTCTTAATCTAAAATTCATTACACTGTGTCAACTGACTGCCCATCATGAGGTCTTCAGCTGTCAAAAGTTGGAGAAACACTAGGCTAGGCTGGTCATGTATATAGCCTTTGAAAAAAAATGTTTGGATTCTATTTAAGGGCCATGGAAAGCCACTGGAACATGGGAAATGACAAGCTTTTGTTAGTGTTTTTTTTTAAAAAATCCTCACCTAAGGATATGTTTTTATTGATTTTAGAGAGGATGAGAGAGAGAGAGAAGTGAGAGAGAAACATTAATGTCTTGCTTCTTATACATACCCTGACTAGGGATCAAACCAGCAACTTAGGTATGTGATCTGACTGGGAATTGAACCCGCAGTGTTTTGATATACGGAACAATGTTTCAACCAACTGAGCCACTGGCCAGGACCTTTTGTTAGTGTTTTTAATAAAGATTCTCCAGTTGTTGTATTAGGGAGAGGTACAAATGTGGAATTAGGGAGATTGATCAAAGGTTGGTTTGTCTACTTGAGAGATGATGGTTATTTGGACTGCAGTGGTGGGAAGGTAGACAGTAATATTTAACAGTTACTGAGTACTTACCATAAGAATCCTATGAAATAGATACCATTACTGGTCCCAATTTTATAGGCAAGGGAACTGAGGCACAATAAGGCAAAGTAACTTACCCAAGGTCACATGGCTATGAGATAAATATTGAAATCCAAGTAATTTGATTCCATAAAGCACAACGTTAGTCACTAAACTTACTTGCCTTCCCTAGATGGAGATGAGAAAGGTAGATAAAGATATATTAGAGATAGGAACAAGAGGACTTGATATCTGATTGGCTAAGAGAGGTGAGGAAGGTGGATAATGCAAAGATGACTCCCGGAATCCACTAGAAGGATTCAGTATTAATTGAAACAGAGGAAGACTGGAGGACATGCATATTTGGAGGGGAATTTGACATGTGCAGGGTGATGCCTGTGAGACATCCAAGTGAAGACATATAGTAGGCCTTGGCCCATGTGGAATTCAGCTCAGGAGAGTTCTGGGCTAGAGATATCCATTTGGGAACTGGCCGTTTACTGGAAATTACGCTTGAGCTTTGCGTTGGCCCACAAGTAGTGCAGTATTTGCTATAAAATGCGGCCCAGTAATGTGCTGCAGGAATGGATTTGTAGGAGTGCCATGGAGCTTTGTATTTGTAGTGTACCGTACCTATATATATATAAAAGCCTAAGTGACCATTTGACTGTTCACCTGCTGACTCTTTGACCGTTTGACCGCTGGACCATTTGACTGGTAGCTATGATCCACACTGACCATCAGGGGGCAGACGCTCAATGCACAGGCATGGAAACATGGAACAGACTGATGAATTTCAGAGGGAAGGGTAAAGGGGGAGGGTGGGAAGAGATTAACCAAAGATCTTATATACATCCTAGAGGCCCGGTGCATGTGCACTGGAGGGGTCCCTCAGCCTAGCCTGTGGGGATCGGGCCTAATCTGTGCACTGAGCCTCCGACATCCCCTGAGGGGTCCTGAATTGCAAGAGGTTGCCGGCCAGGATGAGGGACCCCACCGGTGCACGAATCTGTGCACCGGGCTTCTGGTATTATAATATGGATGCTAGGTGCTTAATAATGTGCACTCAAAATAGTCTCACTCCTCAGGAATTTCCAATGAAACAACTGTGAAAGAAAGGCACTTGAAAAATATCCATTTCAAACATGGGCATTACTACTTAAAATGTTTAATGAATAGCTTTAATGATCTGTATTTTTATTTTGCTAAGACATAAACATCATTTTTTTAAAGTTATAGACCTCACTAACATTGTTAATCAAGATGGTATTGAAAATAATAATTTCTTTTATATTCTAAAGTATTAATAACCTCATGTTTTAAAAGAGTTATACTTAAGCATTTTTAAGTTTATTAAATTTAAAGAAGAGTACAAAGAACTCCTATAAATTCTTTATCCAGATTCACCAATTAGTAACATTTTGTCACATTTGCTTTATTATTCCTTCTCTCTCTCTCTCTCTCTCTCTCTCTCTCTCTCTCTCTATCTCTCTCTCTCTCTCTCTCTCTCCTGAATGTGGTGTGTGTGTGTGTTATGAACACAAGTAAGCTAATAGAGGAAATAATAA